ATCTGAATAAGGCTGGATACATGTTAATAAATAATCTTTTTCTTTTTTGTTTACTAGAAATATGCAGTTTTATATTTAATCTTAAATGGTGATAGTTTTGTACATTTCAATTCCAAGAATATATTTGGGAAGCAAGAACAAATACTATTAACGTTTAAAAAATATAACTATGATCTAGTTATATTTTTTAAACATTAATAGCATTTGTTCTTGACAATAAAAACAATAGCTAGTTCTTGGTCAGATCACTGTGGAACAATATAGAGTCTGGCTCTAGTGTAACATGTTTATTAAATAAAGCATATGACATTGAGGTGAAGCATGAGATGGCACAAAAACAAAACTAGACATAGGATAAACTAAAAAATGTTTATGAATGTGTCTTGGTGTCATTAAGTAAAGTGAACATTACAAAGTTTGGTCTGCAAAAATATCTGTAAAAAGACCAATAATATTTTGGCTAGAGACAGCAAGGAAGATGAGATGCTGCTGTTAATCCCACCCAGAGTGCATTCATTAGCTCTGGCCAAGCTTGGCTTGGATAAAAGAATAGGGTTAGGATTAGAAAAGACATCTGGCCATAAAATGACCATCCTCTGTACAGGAAAGAGGTACAGCACATCATCATAATATAAAGAATGGATAACTTTTGTACTTTTGAATTCAATCATTTTTCTAAATTCTTCCCTTTTTAAAGTCATGAAATTCAAGTCCCCTAGAGAAAATTTAAATTTTGTGACATTAAATTATTTATTTATTATACTGATTACTTAATGTTTAAAAAAATTATATAAAATCATTAAATTTACATTGTTGTTTGTGTGTTTGACTTCTTTCCTGGTGACCATCCCTTCTGGGAAATAGGTGTAACAATATGTGTGTATACATCATATTTCCTTGATTAAACCCTGAAGAATAAAGATGCTATTAAAATAAACCTTGGATTGAAAAGCATTGGAAACATGTTGGAGCATACAAAGTATAGTATAATGTAGTTTAAGTGTGACAAGTGAGAAATTTAATTAAAATTTTGCCTCTTAAATTGTCTAGAGTTGGACAGAACTTTCTATTCCTAGGTTCAATGAAACATTTTTGGAAATAAAATCATAAATATTGTTGAATATTGAGCATGGGAAAGTTTAAGTCAAGAGCTTATCAGCTGAAGGGTAATTAGGAAAATTTAAATTGGAGTTAGTGAGTTTGAATCAGAAGATAATAATCTAAGATCCCAATTCCAAAAATAACATTGAAATGTTTATGAATGACAATGTAACAACTGAATTGGGTTAACCCACTTTGGGGCTCTAGACATTTTCTTCTTACCGGACCCCCTACCTTTCCCACAAGAAATAGAGCACACAAAAAATATAAAACAATAAATAAAACAAAAGTAAATAATGTGAAAAACTAAAACAAATCTTAAATTTTTATTAATGCAATATATTTTTGTTTATTTGTTTATTATATACAGTTGTCCAACAGAAAAGTAAAATATCTCATTTACAAATCTTTTCAAAATAGACAGTTTGACCAGGCCCTAGACATTTGTCTCATTTGTCTATGCGATGATCCAGCCCTGGGATTAACTATGAAAACAGTAATTATTTCAAACATTGAAGTTAATACAGTCAAATGAACATTTTGATCATTCCAAAAATCTACAAGTATTTAATGTATTTCTTTCAATTTTTACCTATGCATTTCATGTTGTAAGGTAATAAATCTCAAAGGTACATTTCAAAAATAACCGTCTGGGTTTAATTGAGGAAATATGTATGTACTTACAAATTTCTAGCTGAAATGAAACCTATATAATTACTTATTGTTTTATCTATCAAAGTGAAATAAAATATAGGAATTTGAAATAAAAAATAAATAAAATGTAATTTTCCTACAGTTGTTTATAAAAAATCTTATTTGTTAATCTTAAATTAAATTCATTACAAAATAGACAAGTGTATAACTAAATATGTATTGTACTATAAAAAAAATAAAATTATATGTATTTAAAATCAATGTAGCAGTTTATACATAAAATGAAAAAAATGAATTTTAATCAGTTCAGGATAATTATGATCAATTATTTGTAGGAAGTAATAAAGAAAGATTTATTTTTATTGCATTGTGAACACAGGATCTTTAATCATGATCATTGTGAATTTATCAAGATTCATAACAGGTAAATGATGACATCAGCATACCTGGGCCAGATATCATCCATGAAAAGTTTTGTAGATTGATGTAGACTTTAACCTGGAATCCTCACAGTGGCAGACCTTAGCTATCTCCATCATTTGTTCATCTGCTTTCAAGTTTGTTTATTTTGCTCATAAATTACATTATTTAATTTTAACATTATTTTTAATCTTTAATGCAATATGCTAAAAAATCCCATGTCAATGATAGAAATAAATTCAATTTTGTAAGAAAAAGTTTTAAAAAATGTAAATTTTTCAATTGTAATTTTAACATTATTTTTAATCTTTAATGCAATATGCTAAAAAATCCCATGTCAATGATAGAAATAAATTCAATTTTGTAAGAAAAAATTTAAAAAATGTGCAGTTACAACAAAATAATAATTGTAATCAGTGCTTTAAAATTATTAATGTAGAGCAGTTTCTTTCACAAATGTATTTAACATTTTGATTTAAATTTTTGTAATATTGGACNGATTTATCAACAATATTGTGAATTACAACAGTGAATTTACAAAAGAAGTGCTTTATTTATTATATTAATATCTCAATTATTATTATTCAAGTTCAAGAAAAGAATTTATTACACACAAGTCCTTGTTACATGACTTCATATAATAGATCAGCAGTAAAACTACTCACTTGTTACACAAAAATTATTTGTGTTACAAGTGAGTAGTTTTACAGGAACACTTTTTACTTGGTAGAATGTTTATTGGAACAGTTATGTTTTGAACAAGAAAGAGGAGATTGATTTGAAATCCTCTTCCACATGGCTAGTTAAATCATACCAGCATGATAAATAGACGTTAAGAATTTTGATTAGGCTGTTCTATTTGTTTGATATTGTAGTCGTTGGGTAGTACATGTTTATGGACTGTCAATTAATTTGATATGTTTGGTTTTTGAATTTTATTATTTTAGGATATTTTAGGTTTATGTTTATTGTGTAAATTGTAAAAGTACACCTGCGCCATGAAGGAGAATAAATGCATGTGATGCCAGGATTTGAATTTTCGTCATCAAATCTGTTTGTTGAAAAAAGTTAATGCATCGATTTGAATATTTTATTGTTAAATTTGATTTGTCAAATTTCAAAACCTTTGATATGTTCTATAACACTGTTCCAACTCCAACATGCAATTGGTTTGAAGACAGAACACAACCATTCACAAAAAGTTTTACTGTTAACAATTTATTATTTTTATTATTTGTTAATTGAGTTAGTTATTGATTTTATTATTTGTTACTTAATTTTTAACATTATTGAACATTTATCTTAAAATTCAACAAAACTTGACATCTTATTTTAATTCAAGAAACACAAACTGCTTAGGGTTAGTCCTGATCTGCACTTCTATGGCAGAACAGATCAAGACTAATCCTAATGCTGTTCATTTTAGTTATTTATAGTTGGCCAATGCAAGCCAGACAATTGGCCGACCAAAAAAAGTACAATTTTATCTTAAATAAGCAATTTGTATTAGTGAACATTTAAAAATTGATATTTGACAAACAGAAGTATGCTGTAGATCAATATTAAAGTTTAGTAGTATTGATATAATAATTTTGCAAATACAGAACTTGAAAACCAAAGATTTTGTTTATTACAATAAAAAATTTATTTTATACACATTATAATTAAATTTTTAGTTACTTTTATTATTGTTTCAAAATGTTTGCACGAATCTTTTCCTGTTCAAAATATCCAGTAATAAGAGAGGGAAATTCTCTTAATAAATTGTTAAACTTTTAGTTATTTGTCGAAACCGTGTCTTCTTTTTCTTGTTTCTTCTGATTCTATGTCACGACTTGGTGCATTTATAGACACTTGGCAAATAATTCCATCACCTACATTTACTTCTTACAGAAACGCGTTTCGGGCTTTCGTCCCTCTTCAGTCTGTTACGTCGATAGTTGTGACTTGTATGTCCGTACTTCCCGCTCCCTTCCCCTCCCCTCTTTTCCCGACTTGACGGACTCCCCCGCATGCCTCGTAATTTGTAACATTACCCTTCTCCGAGTGTTGNCATAGAATCAGAAGAAACAAATTGTTAAACATTGAAAAAATAATTTTTAACTTAAAATAAAAACCATTAAAAATTTGTAATAAATTAATATTAAATAAACTGATAACCAATTTTTTTTTCTAGTTTAGAATGTAATTAAAATTATCTTTTGATAAAATAATATAATCACTAATGAATATTAGAATGACAATTTTTTGGAATGTTTCCATATTAAAAAAAAAATTACTTTTAATATTCTTTTATTAGTTAAAGTGACACAAGAATATTGATGTACATAAATAGCTGAAAAATTTATTATAGTATGAAAGTTGTCATCCCAAAAAAAAGAAAATCAATTTTCAGATAATTTATATGGATTTTTTTAACTTTCACGTACACCTGGATATTTTAGAAATTCGTTTTTTTCTATTCTAATTTCCCATAAAATATAGTAAGAAAAAAATAAATTTTGAAAACAAATATCCTGTAGTTTACGTCAACATCCACGTTTATTTACAAATCAAACTGACATTTATGAAGCTCTTTAAACTTTTCGCCTTTCAATATATTAATTTTTAAGCAAAATAGTCCTTTAATTTTTATAAATTTTAATTATCTATCAACTTAATCTCATAAAAATTTATCAAAATTAATTGTTTTAATCAATAAATTTACGATGATGAAATGTCAAAGATAATCGGCGAAACGCTCTTATAAATTGTCAAGAAATTAAAAGTATACATTTTTGTTAATTTAAGATGAGTTTAAGTAATTAAAATAATCAAATAATTACCTAACAAGAACGGAGAAATCGATTTAGCAACCCCTTTAGTCAAGTCATAGACGTACACGTGAACTTGGGATGTCGTGGGCGACGCCATTTTGAAATAAACAATTTTACTTAATCATTTTCAAATGACGTCATCCGACACGTGAACGATTATTGGCTGACGGTTTTTTAAATATACAGCACTATTTTGTCGAGTCATTATAGGATAATTAAGAATTTAGAGACTAAGAAAATTTAATATTTATTAAAATATCACAATAAAGATATTTTACATCAATAGTTAAACATGCGAGTCTTTGCTAATCTTCCATAAATGCCTTTGAAATCTTCAGTTTTATAAGGAACGTGTGTTTTATTTTCGTATCCGCAAATTAAAACGGACTTTTGAGTTTCTCGAACTTCTTTAACTTGGTTAAGATCCATTTTTCTTATTAAATTTTCTTTTTTTAGCGATTTCATTCCGCGATTTTATGCAATTCGCTTCTATGTGCATCATTGTCCACGAATCGTCTCGAAAAATGTAACTCCTTTATTAGCTTCTTGCTCTTCTATTAATCCGAATTGTTCTGCATATTTATTTCTATTTTCTATTTCAACATTTTCTTCAGCTCTTATTTCTTCAGCTAAAGTTTCCATTCTTTCGAATATGTCGAGCATCAGATTCATCTTTTCATCCCATGTTCTCTGATTAACATCATGACCTCCAGACCTATCGAAGATTTTTGTTTCTTCGTATCTTTTCTTGGAGTTTTAACTCTAATTTTTCAATTGTTTTTGTTCTACTAAAAGAAGCTTCAGCTTTTCTTCTCTTAACGAAGAAAATAGTGAATTCGCTTCTTTCACTTTATGATTCTTGAATAAAATCAGAGACTTAAGCGATGGTAAACTATCCCTGATATAAATAACATTTCTAGTTATATTCATAGATTCTTTTAATATATTTTCAATTTCTCTTGATATATTCGTCGATTTTGTTTCTAATTCCTTAAACTTCGCTTTAAAATCTTCAACATTCTTGTTTTCTTTTGGACATGATCTTTAATGCGTTTAATTATGTCCTTGTGCAATATTAATATCAAGTTAAACTGTGTTGATATTATTACATAAAAATTGAAGATTTGCTTTTGTTTCTTTCTGAATTTCGAATATTTTATTTATATTTTTTGATTTTTTTGTAAATTGCTAATTAATTTACATTTCGTTGAGAGTGCATCGGAGCCGAATGTATCTGTCCATTTTATTAGTATACTTATATTTTTTCGTAACGTTTCTGTTGATTCAAATATTTTATACATCATATATTTGTGTTTTTCGTATGTTTTATTTATGTCGAATTCCATATTTTCTATTTTTTCAATTGATTTTGTATAGTTTGTATGCAAAACTTTAACGTTATCCCTGATAACATTAATGTCTTTCTTCAATTGATCTTGCTTAGTTTTGCCGGTTGTAATTTTAATTCGATTTCTAAGTTATTTTTATCTGATTTTAATTTTTTAATGTTTCTATTCAAGATTTGTCTTTCAGCAACTAGCTTCTTAGCTAATTTCATCAATAATTTAATGTTTTTCGTATTTTCTTCCACCTTCTCTTTTCTGAAACATAACCAATGCTTCGCTTAAGCCAGTGTTTCTTAATGGGGGCGATATCGCCCCATGTGGGCGTTTTTCCATGTTGAGGGAGCGATTAGTAACAATTTATATTTTGGGGAGCGAAAAACAATTTTCTGGCGATATAGTAAAACATTATATTAAGAATAATTAGATATTTTATTCGTTATATCGTACAATAATTAAACAAATAACATTATACTAGTCACTAGTCTANGTATTATTTTCATTTCTTAACGCGGGCTATATGGTATTGAGATTTTTTTATTTTAAAGTCGAATTTAGGTGGGGATCCTCGGGAGTTTCCCGAATCAAATAACAGAAACTAAACATTCGCATCACCGAGAATTAGTTTGAAGATTGTCGAAATTCAGAGATTACAATAATAATGTTTACGATAAAATGTACTTTTCGTCATTCTGACAACGATAGGAATATTGTCGAGTTTTCTTGTGCATTCTTGACAATGTTAGGGCCCCCTCAATCGCGGGGCCCCGGTGCACAGCATCCGCCGCACCGGCCGATGGCTGATCCCCCCCCCCGATGGCCGGCCCTGATTATAAGTAAATTTCGTGATCCTAGTAGGAACATTACTTAAGGTTCTTTTTACCATGCCCCTTTCATACTTCTTAAGCATTCCTACAATTACACTTTTTCTGTAACCCAGAGTCCGGGCCACCTGCCTTAGGCCTACTCTATCAATCTCCTTCGCCCTGTCACCGACTCGGTCACAATATAAATAAACTCTCCTTATTAACGCTCGGAAGGCTGTCATCTTATACCGATATGGATCCATGGACTGGGAGGGTATACAATGGAGTGTGTGTAGGTTTAATATAAACTAGTGTTGTAACGAATAGCATATTCGGCCTCAGGCCGAATACCGAATATTCGGCCAGGAGCGTGGCCGAATAGCCGAATATTCGGCCAAACTATTCGGCTCGATTAACGCACGTACGAAAATTGGCGCGCAAACCGCATTATGGCAAGGATCCTGCTCTCTATTGGCCCGCTGTCACTACGCGTCGACAATCGCGTTAATTCTTGGCAGTTGTAGCGGACAGACAAGAGTGTCATGGAAGTATGTGATAAATGATGATATCAAATGTGGATAACAATGAAATAACCTACACGTGTAAATAACGGAAGAAAAACAGAGAAGAACCGCAAAGTGAAAATGTGAAAATAAATACGAAATTGAGTTGATAATATAATCGAGCAAGTCGAGGCAGCTTATTGGCCCGAAATTCGCGGCCGTCAATGCCAAACAATTGTTGTCATAGGCTTCGGAAAGCTAAATGCTTGTAATGAAAGTCACTTTAGCGTGCACGGGCGAAAGCCTGGGGTCGTTCGGGCTACCAAGCTGTTTCGAATCTGTGAAATCATAGCTGTGACTTATATCGACGTCCTATCTGCCTCTTTTCTCCGTTATCACCAGGCTGTCACGTAATTGTAAAATGGAAACTCTACGACGGAAAAGTGACGAATCGAAAGTATCGTGAGCACGTATTATGATGTATGCACAGGCATAGGTGGATTAGAGCGATAGAGGAAAGAGAAGAGCAAAGACGAGCGCTTAAAAAGAAGGATAGGCAGGGTCAGACTCTCAGATGTGCGAGGATTCTCCAACGATAGACGTGTACTGTACGTGTGCTGATCTTTGTAATTATAAATTGTGAATACATGCGACTAATATTATTTTCTTTTTTATTTTGTGCATGTTACAAGTTATAAATAAATATAAACAAACAACACTAACTCGATAACATTAAATCTAAATAACAAAATGATTAATTTACTGTGTTTTTGTTATTTATTACTCCTGCTTTTAGGTATTCGGCCGAATAGTGATTAAATATTCGGTATTCGGCCGAATAGCGAAAAATAGGCCGAATACCGAATAGTTACCGAATATTCGTTACATCACTAATATAAACGCTTGTGGACAAATGCCCTTTCATAAACCGGATATTAATGTCCAAGAAGTGCACATTCAAGGAACTCTTGTTCTAATCGCAATTTAAGCCCATCATTGTTATCATTGGTTCTACTCATAAATTCATGCGCCCTACTATTATTTCTCCATAAGATAAGGATGTCATCCACATACTGTACCTGCTGAAAAATACGATTTCTTCTTTGAAACTATGAATATTCATAGTTTGAATGCCCGTCGGCGGGACAGAGGTGGGTTCCTACGGACGCGACATCTTCCTGACACTCCCAGACCATGACATTTACCATTTGGAGGGCCGACGCGGCTATGAATGACCGTTGGCTGGACAGAGGTGGGTTCCTTGTGCATATCGACATAAACACTAGTGTATTTGTCGATATATTTGTAGTATATGTATATATATATATAAACATTTAGAATATTTTTGTACTGGTAAATTTAATATATACAGTATATATTAAATTTACCAGTACAAAAATATTCTAAATTTAAGCATTAAAAACTTCATTAATTTATATTTCTTAGCTAAATATACAATTTGAATTTGTCAAAATTTTCAGTGTCCCCCGAGTCATTCGAGTGTCTTCCTTTAGCTATGTTTCTGTTTAGAAAGTCAAAAGCAAGGAATGGGGGATTAGTCAAATTGTCTTTCCGTGTTTTGTCACTTTAATGATGATGATATCACCATTAAAGTGATTATAAATTTTCAAATATTGTATATTGATAATTTTCTTTTATTTACAAAAATTATTTACAGATACAGACATCTCATATGAAAATATTAATATTTGTATTTTATCAAATTATATACAATATTTCCAAAATATCTTTAATCAGGATTCCATATTTTTAAAAAATTGCACTCATTAATACTGATCATTTATATTTATTTTGTATCACAGAGTTACTTTCACTATCAATGAGAATGATTTATTAAATGAATTATATTATCGAAATGGCAATGTAAAATTTTATGATATACAGTATGATATCTACAATGTATTTCGAATAGAATACAAAAATATTAAGATTTTATGTAAAACAAATGTTTCTATATCATAAAAAAATACGAGCTTGAAGCAAGAATTCTATTTACATTTTACATGCATACTGGAACTGTAATCAGAACGATCACAAGATAGAAAATGCATAGGAATTGAATACGCTATAAGATACATATACCAAATATTAAATGGCAGTTAGACAACACACATGTCTTTTAAATCATTTACATCAGATAAAAACATATCGTCGACGTAATTTGAGTTAGTAGCGACATATTCTTCCATCTCCTTTATGGCCTGTTTCAGATCCTTGAACGTGTCGTTCTTCTCCCATTTTTGTAAAAGAATTTCTGACTGTTGACCTGTAAAATCAGTTTCTTTGTTATGTATGGAATTATATAATTCTACGAGACAATCCGGTAGCAAAAATCTCTTCGTTTCGACAATGTCCATTCTTTCGGACGGGGAATAACTGAAACGGGCAACAAATATATGACAATAGTCCCTTTTATGCATATAAATGTTCGAAAGATGATCTAGCCCACGTATGAAGAGTTCGTTTAGAGCATTATATTCTTTATAATATAAATTCTGTAACAAAATAAAAATGTAAATATTAAATATGCATATATTTTAAAGAATATTTGAACAAATTCAACATTTTTACCTGCTGATTTTTCCAAGAACGATATAATTTAAGTGCGCATACAGTTTCTAAGATTATCAATCTTTTGTTGTCTTCCCCTTCCTTGCATGTTGATATTTTTGGGCATTTATAATCCACTAAATTTTCAATCCAAGAAACATCTCCTTTATTAACATTTGCAATATCTTCAACATCTATAATAGGCTCGACGTGGAAACACTCTTTTATGAACTTAAATAAGGCAACCGTTACTTTATTCTGAGGTTCACAATCTTGAGCATACAATATGGGAACAATCAACTTCTTGAGGCTTTTGTCTTCGTCAGTGTGTGCTAAAAATTGGCGAAATATAGTATACATATTTATATTTATATTATTTTTGTTTTTAAAACATATCCTATTGCGAATTGTCTTACCTTCCTTTTGCTGATAATAATCATTTCTTTCATATGGTTTCTTCATCGCATTTGATACATAAATTACTTTAAAAAAAGATAATGAAATGAATAAGGTACCGTACATATCGTTTTTCATCAATGTAATAATTGTCCTTGTTACATACTTAGCTTGTAATGAATATTTCTTTTCCATATTAAAACTAAAACAACAGTCAAAGCAACCAAAACAGTTATAGAAACAACTAAGGGGACAAGATACGGAAACGAAGTGGAAACCTTTGTGGATGGTAATGGTGTTATTATATCCTGAGGTTCATCTGTTATATTATTATGTCTAGTTATTTATATTATAATAAATATTTTAATGTTTAATTAAATATATAATGATTAAGTAATACCTTTAAAAAATTCCAATACTTCATACATTGGAATACATTTTGTGTCTGGACAGTTTTCATGAATTGCTTCATACTGAAATAACACAATCAAAATTAAAATTTTTGATTATGATAAACTGTATGGTATTTTCCTGCTAGCTTTATACTTCTATAATAATTACAACAACCAAATTGCAATATTAAAGAGCAATGTTCTGATGATTGTTGTTAATACAGAGTGATATGTGGGTGAATTTTGACTTGATGGAAATGTTGAATTTCTATTTAAACTGACAATGAAATACTTTACTAAATTACTGAATGAAATACTTTACTACAACCTGTTCTTTGAAATTAACTTTGATGAAATACAAAAATTATATCATTATTAAGAAAAACTCAATAAAACTAGCATCTTTTAGTTCTGTGAAAGTGCATTTAATTTTCTTGTCTTGAAAAGACATAAGTTAAGATAAATTTTTTTATTTTTAATTGGAAGAAGCAATTTAAAATTATATAATACTTATAATTTTAAAGATATATCAATAGTTTATATAATATAATAATTGGTGATATGCAACCGAAGACTTTCATTATCTTAGTTTCCAAATTATTGATGGAAGCTAACAAATTTACACATTTAAGTATTTTATTCATTTGGATTTTCTACATTAGATCAATTTGGTTAAAGTAGCTTATCTATTGGGTGAATTAAATTTTTATTTTATTAAATGTATACTACAGTAGATCCCCCTATAAGACTGGTTCCTATAATTACGATTCCTATAAGACAACGAAAAAATTGTGGTGGTATCCGTACACAACGGTAAAAAAACTCCTATAATTACGTAAAACGTCATCAGGCAGCCAAACTACTTTCCCGCTGTCCGTAGCGCCACGCTACGGACGTTTAGGCGGGTAAATTGAGTTTAGTTTCGTCTGTACATATAATTATATATAGATTAGGTACTGTACATATAATTATATATTAATTATATATAAATTAGGTACTGTATATATAATTATATATTAACTTAATTTATTGTAACTTTATTATAATTATATATATGCTTTCCGCCATCTAGCACCACACTATGGAGAGTTTAGGCAAACTATCATCTGTACAGTATGTAAATTAGGTACCGTAAGTCTAATACAGTACTGTAATTTTATACATTTCTTGTGAAAGAAACATTTCTTATTCAACGGCGATAAAAATTATTTATATTAATGATGTCTCCAAAGTTCAGCGAAGTTTTCGCAGAAAAATAACATCATAAATCGCGGCCGTGGTTTGCTGAGTTGTTCCGCGACGAAAACAAGCTTCAGCAATGGTGATGTCGAATGGTGCACACTCGGTAAGTAATCCTACAATTTTTTGTTTATAGCGTAGTTTATACGGATTATTTCCAAAAAAATATATACGTATTTTGGAAATGTTGAGTCGGATTAGTCTAGAATCGATTAATTTTATGGAAGAAAACCTTTCAAACAGCCGTAGTCCGTAAACTTCATACGTGTCGGGCTGTGATTGGCTGTGATTCCTACAAAATCGGATTCATAAAGAACAGAACGTATCTACCGTCTTATAGAGGGATCTACTGTATTTGATGTAATTTGATTATCACTGTAATTATTATAAAAGATTACGATGATTTTAAATTAAAAAATTAGAATATTATCTTACACCAAGGATATCTATATTAAAATAAGATTTTATAATTTAATTCATAAGAAAATATTAACTAAAGTACAAGAAATTTCATTCAACAAACTATTGTATTAATAGATGAGCATACCTAAATATATTAAAATTAATTATATTTTAAATGAAATTATATAATTTGTAATTTTATTTCTAAAATATATATTGAGATAAATAATTTAAAAATACAATTTAAATTTAATTATAAAAACAAAGACAAAATTTATATGTAAATAATAAAATATGTAAATTTAAGTTTGAATAAAAAGAATACTTTTATCCAGCAGAAATTTCCAATATTTTTTTATTTATGCATACAAATGCTTAAACATGTAAAATATATCTACAAATAACTTTTTAAATTGAAGTGCAGGGGTGATAAAAGCACCAACCTACTACTACAAGGACTTGGGTTTGAGTCTGAGTCAATTCAGACATTCTCATTAACAGTTTACTAGGATATATCAAGCTCAAAGAAAAAGCCCTCTTAGTGCCTGTAGGGCACAAAGAATTAATAATAAAAAGAAATTGAGCAAGGAAAACAAATATCAAAATGTTTTTGCTACAGTTAAAGACAAAACATATTCTTTTTCCATATCCGTTGGCATTTTTTGTTTTAACTCATCTGTCATATGCACTTATAACATTTATTTTCCTATGTGCATTGAGATTTATATATGTACAATAAAAACTGTTTAGGCGACCAACTGCATTCGATGGGCACATGTCAAAATGGGCAAAAATTTCTGGCACCAAATAGTTTATCCATAGAGTCTTCATATAAGTTATCTGTACTAAACAACCACCTGTGTAATGCGACTGCAGGCATCGATTTTTGGTCTGAAACAACATACAACTTTAATAAGCGACCACTTTTGCAAATATATCTGGTCTAAACTATTGTTCAACAACGTTTTACCCTTCCTAATATAATGAATTAGTCTAAACTCTCGTTTGAACCCATCTCGGGCACTTCTCCACCCTTGAAATTAGGTTCAGGTGTTAATGAATTAGTCTAGCAACAAAGAAAATTCATTTCAGTTTGTTTGAAATTGTCTGATAAACGAAAAAAATGAAGTGCTGTCGTTAGAAGATCGTATTAAAGTTATCACAACAGCAATTAGCAGCGAAGTTTAACTGTGAAAAAAAAAATTTATTTTACCGTAGACCTACAGTATTTTCCTTGGGGGTATAAAATATTGTACAGGATACAATTAATCAGCTGATCTCATCGTTTGATAAAATTTATTTTTATTTACTTATCTATTTATTTATTTTGAAGCTCATGTACAGTACATGTGCGATAAATAGTTTCTGTATCAACCTACCTTATTTTCCCGATATTTTAAGGAAAATAATATCCAAATCATTTTCGCACACAAAATATGCAAAAAAACAATAAATGCATTAATGCAAAACTCAGTTTTACAGGCAATCTTCCTTTTTCGATTCCGCAATGGCAATCACGGAATGTAATGAAATCGTACAATGAGAAAAAATAATAAAATCGTTTTATTATTATTTAATAATTTTTCTTATTGTACTTAAGAAAATATTAAGAAATACACTATTTTTAAAGTTAAAATAAGATTAAACTAGCGAATACCAAAACCAAAGTGATGTAGAGATACAACGGGCTTGTATATCAATGACGTAATACACGTAACTGAGGAGCGAACGAAAACAACCAAGTTGAATTAATTAAGTCGGAAAAAAGAAAGCGTGCATTATAATGGAGAAAATGCGACTATTGTATTAATCTTTAAAATATTGATATTAAATCTGTCTATTAAAATCACGATGACTCCCGTAAATCGAGTTATCCTATAAGAATAAAATACAATACCAATATAGCCCTATCGTTGAAAAAATTCGCTTATATTTGCTCACCTAGAATTTTTCTTAGTAGAAATGGCTAAAAAGTACGCAAAATACGTACAGAAATACGGTATTACAGTACCACCTGTATTGGACAACCACCTGTATAAAAGACCATTTTTTGAAGGAACCGTAAGTGGTTGCCATAGACAGGTTTTACTGTATGTAGATTTTAACCAAACAGATTTGGAAGAAAATGAATGTTTTGCTCTTTCTATTATACAGTAATTTCTATTTTTCATTGTTAAAAATATACTCTTTTCAAAGATAATGGAAAATTTCAGAAAATTGAATTCACTAATATTTTTGTATTTTTTTCATTCAAATAAACAAATTTAGACTTTGATATAAAATATGGATATCTACATATATATAGTACTTGTTTATAATAAATACATTCTATTTCTTATAAATAATGAGAGAGTAATTTTGCTTAATTTCTTAGAAATGAATTCAATCAAATTATAAAATGAAAATGCTTCCCTATAAATGAATGTCATTTATCTATATAATTTTCCACATCATTCAGAAGAAAATCCTCTTTTCTATAAAGAAAGAAATTTTTCTACAAACTTAATATAAAGTTGGAAATTTTAATCATAAAAAATTGGTCAATAGCTAAGAAATTATCTCAAAAATCATCAAATGCAATTTCAAAAAATTTTTGTAACTAAACTTGAAAGTTTTAGAGTATTTATTTTAGAACTGTCCCTAAGCAATACTCTAAAACTGTGGAATGATATTTTGATATTTGATATGTTTGGAACTATATTTGAAAGCCTGTAGGTAAAATTATTTGTATATTTTTAAAAAAATATTTAAAGCTTCAAGAATTAGAATCCAAATTTTGAAAAATCTGGATTCTAATTTCTTGCAGCTCTGAAAATAGGAAGATTGCTTCCTGAAAGTACTTTGTCAAATTTTTAGCTCCTATAACCAAGCATATTAAAAAGCACTGTGTAATACATATATGCAGGACTGTCCACAATGGGGAAGCTGGGGATTTTCCCCAGGCTGTAGTGGTTCTTATTCCTATAATGTTATTTTTACTAACAAAAAATAAAATATTTAACACTGCTTTTTATGAATAAAGAAATGCTCTATTACATATTTCAGTAAAAAAAAAAAAAAAAAAGTAAAACAGGCCTACCCTACTCCCTTGAGCCAATACTAAGCTTTTGGCCCTGCAGGCATATATCACTTAATGACAAGAATATGTTTTGAGAAATAATCAAGAGATATTGTCATTAAGTGAACATCGTGAAGTGTACCTAGACAAACCATAAATAGTATGTACAGTTTACTACTCATGTAGGGTATATGTAACATAATGATAAGTATTTATGTATCTAAAAATAGAAGAAGTACAGACAGCTACAAATTTTTCAGCCTCATTATAATCTTACAGTAAGTAGAACATTGTTCAGTGGTGCATACCTGTACATAAATTGTTTTATTCAATACTCAAGTCTTAAATAAAAATATACTGTCACCTTAGTTAAGTATTCCTTTACCTTGATATTAAACATTTTTCATTTACATTAAATGAAAAAATAATTCTATCTTTTCCTTTATCACAAATAATAAAATGATGTATATTCAGTAATTATATATGCAAATAACTTACCGATAAACAATATTTTCCAAATGTAAGATTCTCAAATTTTACAAATACTTTCTGAAAAAAATCAAAAAAATTAGTATTATATAAACATGTTATTTAAATAATAATAATATTTAATTAAATTTAAGTTTTTGAAACATTATAAATTATTAAGAGTTATTACAGTAATATTATGTAAAATACTGTAGTTCTCAAGATATGCATGTATTGCTTGAATTTTAATCTCACTTAAATGCACTTTAATCTACAGAATTATAATGTTAATGTTTATTAAGTTTCTATATATCAGCATCTAACCTGAGGACTTATCACATGTTTTGGGAAATATTTTCACTTAGACTAAGAGACTTTTCACCATTCTACTTTATTAAATATGCATTTTGGACAGTTATGTTCCTCTTCAGTTTACAACAGATGCTTTTCAGGCTACAAGTTCTTTTATAACTATCAATAAATTACATTTTAAAAAGAAAAATGTATATTTACAAGAAAAAGTCTGGAGTATTTTTTAAAAAAATTTTTAAGGAAAAAGATCCAGCAGCATTCAAAACTGCATGTGGCACCATCTGTTATGATATTTTATTAAAAACTTTTTATATTCTTAATTTTTATAAAATAATAAAAAGCTTAATTCTGAAGGTAGGGATGGGTTTTATAAAATATTGTAAATGCTAATAACAAGTAAACTCATCATTAAATCCATCCTACTTGAGCTATTACATGTGACACCCCTTTATCTCTCCATTTCCTTGATCTTTAACCACCAAACTTTAATAATATTAATCCCGCAATAAACAAAACTTCCTGGAAAATTTCTGAAATTTTCAACAAAAAGCACAGGACTTATTAAGCTTCACAGGGTGAACAAAATTGTACCCCACACAAACATACATACAGAATAAATCCCTGATTTTTTTGTATTTCTCAATGTTTCAAGATCCAGAGTGCAAAAATGTACAAATCTTGGAGGGGTCATTTTTGACCAATTGCCATACTTTCCCTCTGCTATATATAATAGAACCAGGAAAGTAAAAGATAAGTTTTTAAAATTAAAATTTCCATCTTTGAAAAGTGAATAGGTTTAAAATAAAATTTTAGTAAGAAAGAAAAAGAAGAAACTTGTAATACTTTATAAAATATACTTATAGATGAAAACAATCAACATATTTTTAAATAAAACAAACAATAATGCAAATATAATAAAAATAATTAGAAAAAAGAAATGTATGTTTAATAATATATAAATGTATTGTATAGCCTTCAGTGAATGTGAGTATATTTATGTGCAAAGTAGTAACATCAAAAATAATTTTTTATATGAATGTATTGTAAATATGATTTTTCTTTTTAAAATGCAATGTAAAGAACTTGTAATCTGAAAAGCATCCTATTTTAAACTGAACTGTGACATAACTGTCCAAAATGTATATTTAATACAATAAAACAATAGAACAGTATCTTGGTATGTAAGTGAAAATATTTTCCAAAAGGTGTAATAAATCCTCAGATTAGAATCTGACATAGAAGCTTGATAACAATTAAAATTCAAAAGAAGGATAAGAAGCAAAAATTTTTTTATCAAACTACAAAATAATCCTCAATAAATTGCATAAGTGTAAATCTTTGGGATAAAGTAAACTGGCTGATTTTGAAGCATCAAAATTTATTCTGTAAATTTGTAAAGAAAAAAGATGCTTGAACAGCTCTGATTACAATGAAGATAACCTTTATTTATAGTATTTAAACAAAGTTTTTTCTAATATTAGCATAATATTTTAAAAAGAATCAGATCTTATAATGTTGTATAATGATCTTAAATTTAAAGAATCAGTTTCCATTTAATAAGCTATGGTTTTACATTAATTGTAAGTGAATTTTACTTTATATAACAGGGCAATTAATCATTTCTCATTATAAAGTATATATTTTTAGTGTACTGTATTTTAACAATTAGGCAAACTAGGCTAAGGCCTGGGAAACAGCACAGAAAAATGTAAAAGAAAAAACAGGACTAATTTTGGTTTTACAAAAATATACAAAAATTATTAAATATTTTTATAAACTTATCATACTGTGCTTTTAATTACATTCAGATTACTAATATTACAGCCTATTAGCTAACACAGCAGGGAAACAACAATTAATATTTCTGTGCTTTTGCATTCTCTGAAGTTACACATGTGATAACTGCTTCATGCAATGATTTTTGCAAAACAATTTATGAAAATGGCTTGGAAGAGGGATTTCAAGATGAACTTTTGCAATTTATGGAGTTTTCTTTAAAGAAAAGTAACTTCTAATCCAGTTGAATTGCACAAGTTCATCAAAGATTAAATTAGAATTCACATTTCCAAACTTGTTTATCTTGCTGCACATTTACCTCTGCACATTGTTCCCTTTGAGTATCACCAATGGAGAAAGGTCATTTTCAGTTTTAAAGAAAGTGAAAAAACTCATGCACAGAACAACAGGGCAGATTTGCTTAAATTTACAAACAATATTTTCTATTGAGATGAAAATTTACCAAATAGATTTCTTTTTGATAAAGCAATAAGAAAATTTGACCATAGTAAAAACTTGAAAATGCTTTTTCTAATCATTACTATTATTGCATAGTAAGTGTGTAATTTAAAAAGGTAAATAAAAAATTAATAAGCTAAAACTGATAGGAAATGCAATTTCTTAAAATTTAGTTATGGGTAGTGTGGAAATCACAATAACCTGTAGTGGGACTATTGTGTGAATGTGTAGGTTTGGTTACCACGAGACAAATGAGAGATGAATTGAAATCACTTATAATTAAGTTTATATACAGGTAATATATACAAAAAAATTTACAAGCTGTTCTCTAGGTCATGTATGGAGACACCAACATACCAGACGGATTTGTCAGTATAATGGGTTGAGTACAATACAAGTCCTTTCAGCTAATATGCACATGAATCTCTCCCAAAATACTTCTTGGGCAATGTCCACTACCGGCAATTCACTAATTTTAACACAAAGTCCTAAGCGTCTAAGTAAGTATTTTCATCAATGCAAACGGATTTCACTTTCAGTCTGATAATATAAATCTGTATATAGCTTCAACTGTACCATGCGGTTCCCAAGGACACCTTAACACAAAACACAGACCTTCCTTTTTTGACCCAGGCAACACCTCACCAGTCAGAAAAAAATCCCATTGACAATCCTTGCTTCCTAAAATCCCTTTCCCTCTCACTGCAATGCTGCCAATCTTCCACACACCAACAAGTAAAACAAAAAAAAATATGAATATGTATAGCCCAAAAATCTGCAATGGCACAGTAGTCATCGGGTATACAGATTAGATGCCCAAATTCATGTTTGTGCCAAGATCCCAAGACACTGTTAAAAAGTCTATGCACATATTTTTATATTTAAATATAAAATATTGTATTATATTTACAATATTGTAGATAGTATCTATTGTAGTGCTATGCTACTAGTGAATATAATTCTCTTTAATTTTTATAAGATCGTTCCATTGATTTGTATCGGGACTTAGCTGTAATGCACAGCCATTGTTGTCGCATATGCCATACCACATTGTGGGCAGTGCTGTAAGGCAGTTGTTGATTGGCTCTTTGAGGGCCACTTGGGTGGATAAAGCACTCGGATGGAGGGAGCTTATAAATGTGAGCACTTGCACATGGAACAGGACTTTTTTCTGGTTATTCTACTTCGCCCTAGCATTGGGAGCCATCATTGGACCGCAATGACTTTCGATAAAGAGAAAGGAAAAGTGATCAGAAATGGGAATAAAGGAAAGAAGGACCCATTGAGAGGTAATCAAATTCCATCCAGCAGTAGCCCTAATTTTCATGAAGTGGAACTAGTGAATAAGAGTCCAAGATCACCTAGTACATTAGCAAGACAGTTATTACAGGAGTTTTCCTTGAAGCCTCTATATGACTGAACAGGTTAAGAACCACGTGTGACTAACAAAGGAATTGTATTTCGTAAAGATGTGTAACAGGAAATATGGCTACTGTATGTATCAACTTGTAAATAATTGTATAGTTTTTTCTTCTTATTTTGTTGCGTATTAGTTTATCATCGCAAGTAAGGTCCTTTGTAAACCAAATTAGTCATGTCAGTCCTATATTTGGTAAGAATATAGTTTGTATAATTGAATTAAGTAATCAAGGTATTCTTTTGTTACTTTTATAATAAATAACTAAGGAAGGAAGAACTGTCTGTCTGAATTGTTTTGTTTCATAGTAAAATCCTCAGAGCAAATCCCCATCTATATAACAAGATATACTCTGGTATATCATAAAACAATACACTATCAAAGCTACTAATATATATTTTCATCTGCACTTCAATCCCATGTTTTTGCTTAAGCTTCTTGCTCCTTCATCTTTGTTTACTGTTGCTATTGGTAACATGACAGTGTAGTAAAAGTTTTCACTGGCTGAGAGCTATCTACTGAGTTAAAGTAACTCTTAAAACATGTGTAGCTTATCCTTTAAATTAGTAATAAGATTAAATTTATTCCAACAGATCTGTAATTTAAACAGTAATTCATGCAACCAGCACTAAAAAAATCTTAAAATTTGATTTCAAATTTGTATAATATGGCAATCATTTGNTAAATATATAATGATTAAGTAATACCTTTAAAAAATTCCAATACTTCATACATTGGAATACATTTTGTGTCTGGACAGTTTTCATGAATTGCTTCATACTGAAATAACACAATCAAAATTAAAATTTTTGATTATGATAAACTGTATGGTATTTTCCTGCTAGCTTTATACTTCTATAATAATTACAACAACCAAATTGCAATATTAAAGAGCAATGTTCTGATGATTGTTGTTAATACAGAGTGATATGTGGGTGAATTTTGACTTGATGGAAATGTTGAATTTCTATTTAAACTGACAATGAAATACTTTACTAAATTACTGAATGAAATACTTTACTACAACCTGTTCTTTGAAATTAACTTTGATGAAATACAAAAATTATATCATTATTAAGAAAAACTCAATAAAACTAGCATCTTTTAGTTCTGTGAAAGTGCATTTAATTTTCTTGTCTTGAAAAGACATAAGTTAAGATAATTTTTTTTATTTTTAATTGGAAGAAGCAATTTAAAATTATATAATACTTATAATTTTAAAGATATATCAATAGTTTATATAATATAATAATTGGTGATATGCAACCGAAGACTTTCATTATCTTAGTTTCCAAATTATTGATGGAAGCTAACAAATTTACACATTTAAGTATTTTATTCATTTGGATTTTCTACATTAGATCAATTTGGTTAAAGTAGCTTATCTATTGGGTGAATTAAATTTTTATTTTATTAAATGTATACTACAGTAGATCCCCCTATAAGACTGGTTCCTATAATTACGATTCCTATAAGACAACGAAAAAATTGTGGTGGTATCCGTACACAACGGTAAAAAAACTCCTATAATTACGTAAAACGTCATCAGGCAGCCAAACTACTTTCCCGCTGTCCGTAGCGCCACGCTACGGACGTTTAGGCGGGTAAATTGAGTTTAGTTTCGTCTGTACATATAATTATATATAGATTAGGTACTGTACATATAATTATATATTAATTATATATAAATTAGGTACTNATGTTAAACTAATATTAAATAAGAATTATCAATATTTTATAGATATAAATCAAATATGATCTACACCAGGGGTTCCCAACCTTTTTTTTTTGCATGATCCCACATAGAAAACATTCTTTTCAATTGACCCCTTTAAAATTTTTATATTTCCCAAGAATCTGCATAATATATCAAGTATGTTATCTGGTTTTTCTGTCAACTCTCAATTAACCTTTCGAGTTCAATTAAACACTTTCAAAATTCCATTGACCCCCATGGGATCTATATCAATCCAATTGGGAATCCATGATCTACACTTTATTCAATTTAAGATTGTGTACAATACAAATTTACAACTTTAATTTGCCTTGGCCATTTAGTCAGCACTTCTGATTAGTTAATAAAAATTAATTTTTAACATTTTCACATTTGCAACAAAGTTTTTCTTTTGTTCTATACATTAAGTCACTATATCAGTGTATCACAAAACCTATTGAAAAACTTGGCATTTATATTCATGCCAATTTTCAAAATTTTATTATTTCAATTTCATAACATTTCATTTAGAAGAAGAAGAAGAAGAAGAAGATGATGATGATAATAATAGAACTTCTTAAAATAAACTGAGTTAGTTTTTCTTTTTGATTTCTAATATAGGAGTGCAATATACAAAGCAAATATTAGTGTGATAAACTGATCTATATGATTATATTATAATTCTAAATTACATTTATGTCTGAATATGTAATCTAAATTAAGTTATATATATATTCAGTAGAATTCATATAGCCTAATAAAATATAAGTAAATTATCTTTTATATATTTTACCAAGCTATTTATGAACTAAATAATAATTATATATAGTATATTTCAAAAATCAGCAATCTGCATATTATCCAAAAGGGGCTGTGGAATATTTACAGAGTATATGTTGGCAACCTGAGATATGCTTCAGGACCTGTTGAATTCAAATAGTCTGTGCCTTCACATACTAATACACATTCATCCTTGCTACTGCAAGGGCAAGAGTATGCAGCAATCTAGCCAAATTTTGCAAAACATAATGTATTTATCTATCAGTCATTAAATCTCTTTGACTATAGTCAAGTTTTTGCTGAAATTACACAAAATGAAAGATTATTAAATTATTCATTCATAATTTTATATNTTGCTATTGGTAACATGACAGTGTAGTAAAAGTTTTCACTGGCTGAGAGCTATCTACTGAGTTAAAGTAACTCTTAAAACATGTGTAGCTTATCCTTTAAATTAGTAATAAGATTAAATTTATTCCAACAGATCTGTAATTTAAACAGTAATTCATGCAACCAGCACTAAAAAAATCTTAAAATTTGATTTCAAATTTGTATAATATGGCAATCATTTGGCTTTTATATATTAAGCCAAATGATTGCCATTTGGCTTAATATATAAAAGCCAAATGATTGCCAAATTATATCAGACTATATTAGTAGTAGTAATATAGTTTGATATAATTTGGCAACTGTTTGGCTTTAATTAATATACAGTAAAAGAAAAAACAGGACTAATTTTGGTTTTACAAAAATATACAAAAATTATTAAATATTTTTATAAACTTATCATACTGTGCTTTTAATTACATTCAGATTACTAATATTACAGCCTATTAGCTAACACAGCAGGGAAACAACAATTAATATTTCTGTNCAATTTTTTGTTTATAGCGTAGTTTATACGGATTATTTCCAAAAAAAATATACGTATTTTGGAAATGTTGAGTCAGATTAGTCTAGAATCGATTAATTTTATGGAAGAAAACCTTTCAAACAGCCGTAGTCCGTAAACTTGACACGTGTCGGGCTGTGATTGGAAGGACTCGTAAGAAATCGGATTCCTAAAAAATGGAACGTATCTATGATCTCATAGGGGGGTCGACTGTATATTTTTATGTGCATATAAACGATTTTTTTATATTTATCTAAAAAAATTTTTTTTATACACAAACTATTCACAGTGCCTCCTCTTCCCTCTTATGATGATATCTGAATATGCCACTGATCCAGAGAGCTAAACTTTTCTTCATTTCTTTATTGTGAAATAAAATTACAAATATATGGATTGATTATTTTTGAAAAACTATGAACAAGTTTGAGATACAATAGTAGAATACAAGAAAATTTTATATGTGTATTTATTTAAAATATATATAAATTTATCAACAATTAATAATATATAAACAGAATTTTACCTGGACAGCAGATACTTTTTCAATTTCAAGAGGGTTTAAAAATCCTGGATGTCTAAGCTCAACAGTGTAACTTTCATAAGGAGATTTATGACTATCAGAAATAATCATCAGTTTAAAGACCTTCTTGGTATAAGTATAAGAAAATGTTAGATTCCAGTTGTAATCCACAGAAGTTGTAGAGCTAATGCCTTCTGTCTGGTTGTTCAGAGGTGATACTGTTGAATTTTGAGATTCATTTTCTAAATCTGAAGAAAAATATTTAAAAAATTATACATTCCATAATTTATAATGNTGATGAAATAACCCTTTTTATAAGGGAATTCTAAAGTTATAGAAATATTATGACAATTATTTAAGAAGTTCTAGCATTTTCAAGCATTTTTATCTTAACATTTTAAAAGTTAAAAAAATCTTAAATAAACTTCCAATTTCTTTAAGCTTTCTGAAAAATAACTATTTAAGAAGTATATTTTAGATTACTTTAATTTAAAATAGCAAAATTTAACAAATATTACAAACTAAAAAAATAAAGAAAAATACTTACTTCATCATAAGTTACATTCATTTGATATAAAATTTTATCAATCTTGGAACATTTGTTTGTGAATTTTCTCAAATAAAAGCTATAAATGTGAAAACATTTTTTTGGATTTTTTGATTTAATTGCAATTGTCATACTCATCCTATAAAAAAAAATTATAATCATTTCTAATTATCAATATTTTCTAAAAAAAATTTAAATTTGGGTGAGTTTTATTGAAAAATATACTTAAAAAATAAACTAGTAACTCATATTTCCTTCATAATATAGTATTGGATCAAATATCTGGCAAGCTTGGGACCAAAAGTGGTCTGATTTTTGGATTTTCTGGTTTTATGGACACAGGCTAAATAAATACTTAAAATATAAAATAAACAATAGAAACTAAAGAATGAAACTGTATTTAACAGTGTATGCCAGCTGTCATACTGGAACTGGTGTCATGCAATGTGTATGCCAAGGAAACCAATACAAAATTACAGCTAACAAAATTTAAGACTAGCCAGTTTCCTGGAAGCGGGATATTTGATCCAATACTATGCTGTTTTACTTCTAATATTGAATTTTCATTTGAATTTAAAGACACACACTAGCATGAAAAAAATTTTTGTGAAAATATTGGAAATAAATTTAGTTTAAAACAATTTATAAAAGAAGCTGAAATATTATTTTGCCTCTTTATAATGGACTTCTGTTTAAAAGGCAAATACAATACACTGGCATAGCTAGGGTTCTCCGGACCCGGTGGAACCAGATTCGTGGGCCCCTGTAAATGGACTAAAATATTTTTGTGTAGTGGTTTATATAGTGTATAACTAGATTAGAGTTGAGTTGATATTTTCCTGTGTAATAGGGGTCCCAGAAGCTCAAGCAGCCAAATGCCAAATTTTACTTTGTTCTGATTGCCGTGAAAAATTTTTCAGTTTTTTTTCCTGTAATTTTGGGGCCCCCATGGGCCTATCATTTTCCAGGGGTGCAGTGCTGACTGCACCTACCACACCCTCCTAGCTATGCCACTGATACAATAGAGTTCTGGTCAATCTGAAAACCAAATATGTTGAGACAATGTTTTCAGTTTGTTCCAGATTAGAATCATACTTCAAGCACAGATGTTTGTAAGATTTGGATATAGAATATTGTTTGAAGATACTACAAAGCTCTTAGTGTAGTGCTGAACAGTAAAAGTTAAAAGTACAAATACAAAAATATGCCAGTTTTGATACACAACTGCCAGCAAATGTAACACTGAGAGTTGTTTTATAAAAAAGTAGAACAGTTTTCAATTGGGTTTCAACTGGATTCACTAAAGCCATTCTTCTTGTCTGTCTTTAGTTGAAAAAATTCAGACTAAAGTATTTTTGTTTTCTGATACCATTTATGTTTGATTTTATATTTATTTGTTCTTTCCCACAAAGTGATGATCTTAAGAGTTTTGAACAGTAACAAAGTAGACTATGAACATAATGAATATAAAAACTGAGAGATTCTTTATTTTCTATTATTCAGTAAAAAAAGTAATGAAAATGCATTAACTTTCTGTCTCAATAAACAATTTTCTATCCCTTTAAAATACATGATGAGAACAACTTTAACAAATGAAACACTGAATTTAGACTCAGAAATGTGAAAAAAATGCATCTTAAATTAATATTTATAAATATAATTTATTTGAATCAATAATTTACAAATATATCCATCCTACTTACTCTTTCCAATTTGGAATCATCTTTAATCTAGGACTCAATGAATTGCAATTAATAGAAGTTAGGATATAACCTGAAAAATGAAACATAATTGTTAAAAGTGAATTTTGCTTTCGGTTATCCATTTAAAATATAATTTTTAAAATTCATACATATTAAGTTAAGAAAAAGATATAATTTTTGAATTGATATGAAAATCAATGTTTTAAGTCAAAAAGTCTTCCAAACAATAATCAAAATTCAAATTAACAAGAAAGGTATAAGAGTAAATCTTGAAACATTTAAAAATCCAAATGATATTCACCTTGTTGGTTCACTATCAACAATTAACTAAATATAAATTAAATTAACTTATGTATTAATACATTACCTCCTAAATTCAGGTTTATTTCATTTATGTTACTTTTATATTTTCCATAATAAGAAATAATCTAAATAAAACAGTACATACAAGTACAGTACAGTATTTTCTGAGGAAACACTCGTACTTAATTTTTTTAACCCCATTCCCGATAACCCGGCATTTTCACAAACTCGGCCACCCTTCGGTCCACATTAGGCCAAGTTTTCGAGGTTCTACTGTACCAAATTAAAAGAACTTTCATAAAAGTATCATTTGATATTATTTGCTAACAATAAATGATATCAATTGATGTTAACTGACAGAAAATAAACTTAAATTATTATCTGCAATCATATACTTCATAAACAAGAACTGCTAATGGCAGAAGTGATATTAACTGCTACTAAAAATTGTTTTTAAATATTTACAAGCTTTCAAGTTTTGAATATATGATGTCGAATGACATCAAATGATATCATTTTATACCCTTTTGTTACTTGAAATCATTCATTTATTGAGAATGATATTGAATACTACTGATCATTTGAAACTGTTAAAAACTACTTCATGACTGATATTAAAATATTATTATTTGAAAATGATGAAATAACCCTTTTTATAAGGGAATTCTAAAGTTATAGAAATATTATGACAATTATTTAAGAAGTTCTAGCATTTTCAAGCATTTTTATCTTAACATTTTAAAAGTTAAAAAAATCTTAAATAAACTTCCAATTTCTTTAAGCTTTCTGAAAAATAACTATTTAAGAAGTATATTTTAGATTACTTTAATTTAAAATAGCAAAATTTAACAAATATTACAAACTAAAAAAATAAAGAAAAATACTTACTTCATCATAAGTTACATTCATTTGATATAAAATTTTATCAATCTTGGAACATTTGTTTGTGAATTTTCTCAAATAAAAGCTATAAATGTGAAAACATTTTTTTGGATTTTTTGATTTAATTGCAATTGTCATACTCATCCTATAAAAAAAAATTATAATCATTTCTAATTATCAATATTTTCTAAAAAAAATTTAAATTTGGGTGAGTTTTATTGAAAAATATACTTAAAAAATAAACTAGTAACTCATATTTCCTTCATAATATAGTATTGGATCAAATATCTGGCAAGCTTGGGACCAAAAGTGGTCTGATTTTTGGATTTTCTGGTTTTATGGACACAGGCTAAATAAATACTTAAAATATAAAATAAACAATAGAAACTAAAGAATGAAACTGTATTTAACAGTGTATGCCAGCTGTCATACTGGAACTGGTGTCATGCAATGTGTATGCCAAGGAAACCAATACAAAATTACAGCTAACAAAATTTAAGACTAGCCAGTTTCCTGGAAGCGGGATATTTGATCCAATACTATGCTGTTTTACTTCTAATATTGAATTTTCATTTGAATTTAAAGACACACACTAGCATGAAAAAAATTTTTGTGAAAATATTGGAAATAAATTTAGTTTAAAACAATTTATAAAAGAAGCTGAAATATTATTTTGCCTCTTTATAATGGACTTCTGTTTAAAAGGCAAATACAATACACTGGCATAGCTAGGGTTCTCCGGACCCGGTGGAACCAGATTCGTGGGCCCCTGTAAATGGACTAAAATATTTTTGTGTAGTGGTTTATATAGTGTATAACTAGATTAGAGTTGAGTTGATATTTTCCTGTGTAATAGGGGTCCCAGAAGCTCAAGCAGCCAAATGCCAAATTTTACTTTGTTCTGATTGCCGTGAAAAATTTTTCAGTTTTTTTTCCTGTAATTTTGGGGCCCCCATGGGCCTATCATTTTCCAGGGGTGCAGTGCTGACTGCACCTACCACACCCTCCTAGCTATGCCACTGATACAATAGAGTTCTGGTCAATCTGAAAACCAAATATGTTGAGACAATGTTTTCAGTTTGTTCCAGATTAGAATCATACTTCAAGCACAGATGTTTGTAAGATTTGGATATAGAATATTGTTTGAAGATACTACAAAGCTCTTAGTGTAGTGCTGAACAGTAAAAGTTAAAAGTACAAATACAAAAATATGCCAGTTTTGATACACAACTGCCAGCAAATGTAACACTGAGAGTTGTTTTATAAAAAAGTAGAACAGTTTTCAATTGGGTTTCAACTGGATTCACTAAAGCCATTCTTCTTGTCTGTCTTTAGTTGAAAAAATTCAGACTAAAGTATTTTTGTTTTCTGATACCATTTATGTTTGATTTTATATTTATTTGTTCTTTCCCACAAAGTGATGATCTTAAGAGTTTTGAACAGTAACAAAGTAGACTATGAACATAATGAATATAAAAACTGAGAGATTCTTTATTTTCTATTATTCAGTAAAAAAAGTAATGAAAATGCATTAACTTTCTGTCTCAATAAACAATTTTCTATCCCTTTAAAATACATGATGAGAACAACTTTAACAAATGAAACACTGAATTTAGACTCAGAAATGTGAAAAAAATGCATCTTAAATTAATATTTATAAATATAATTTATTTGAATCAATAATTTACAAATATATCCATCCTACTTACTCTTTCCAATTTGGAATCATCTTTAATCTAGGACTCAATGAATTGCAATTAATAGAAGTTAGGATATAACCTGAAAAATGAAACATAATTGTTAAAAGTGAATTTTGCTTTCGGTTATCTATTTAAAATATAATTTTTAAAATTCATACATATTAAGTTACGAAAAAGATATAATTTTTGAATTGATATGAAAATCAATGTTTTAAGTCAAAAAGTCTTCCAAACAATAATCAAAATTCAAATTAACAAGAAAGGTATAAGAGTAAATCTTGAAACATTTAAAAATCCAAATGATATTCACCTTGTTGGTTCACTATCAACAATTAACTAAATATAAATTAAATTAACTTATGTATTAATACATTACCTCCTAAATTCAGGTTTATTTCATTTATGTTACTTTTATATTTTCCATAATAAGAAATAATCTAAATAAAAAAAAATGTTTATATAATAAATATCACAAAACTATCCTTGTTTTAAATGCTTATTATATGAAAATTTTCTAATTAACTTTATATATATTTTGGATGATAAATATTACAAGTGAGAATCAAAAGAAAAGTTTGACAACTTATGTTCTTTTATTACATATTTATTGCAACAAAAGCAATATTACAATGCACATCAAACAATCTTCTATTTTCCGTATAATCATTGAGTTTGACCCAGCACTACAATACTTTTTCAATACCATATCTGAAGAAATTTAGGCCAGTCTCTTAAAGCATTCCTGCAATGTAACTTCCATATCATTGTCTGACTGGATATGTTGACTTTGCAAAATGTACAGTACTTCAGCTTAGGGAAAAAATGGAAATTACTGGATGCAAGATCTGGACTGTATGGAGAATGGTCCAGACCTTTCCGAAATAATTTCTTCAAGGGTACCTTTAACACTTTTGACAATGTTGTCTTGTGTTGTCATCAAAAGGATCATGTCTTTGGTCAAAAATCCAGGCCTTTTCTTCGAAACAGCCACCAAAGTTTGACAATACCTTTGCCCATTTGCAATTTATCTGTGATGCATCCAGTTTTTCAACTTGCACACAGTAGTGGACTAGCCTACTGGGAAATTCCCAATTTCTTAGTGGGCTGTTCCTATAATATAAGCCTATGTATATGGACCTATATATATGGTATATATTTCCAACTGAAATTTGTTGCTAGTCTGATGCTACTTTCATGTTGCTATCTTTACAAAAATTATGCCAAGGACAAGCTCATTTTTCACAGGTATGATCCTAACTCATTACCAATTCAATTTTACCAGATTGGAAGGGCAATTATATGAGACAACTGCACGAAAGATGTCTACATTTTGACATAACTTTAAAACTGGTATTTACATTATCATAGCCAGGGAAAAAATTGTCAAACAAGTTTTTGATTCTCCATCATATTTTATTTCATCAATTTATCCATTATTATATAGAATAAATTACAAAATTATACATTATAACTAATGATAACGGTATTTTACATTGCATTAAATTAAAAGAAATTTATAACTGAATCTTCAATGCAGAATTTGGAAATCCTTTTCAGAAAATAAAAAAATAATAATAATAAGTTAAATTCTGAATTAAAAATGAATTTTATTTTTACTTTCCTGACTGTTATGTATAAATAACAATGGAAAGTATTGGAATTGTGTTAAATTGATCCTCTGAGTTTTTTGCAAATTTCTATGTTTTGAGACCTCCTGAACCCAAGTCAACAAAACAGAAAAAAATAAATTCTGTATATATATGTGTGCATGTTTGTTGGTGTATATTTTGTTTAACACCCCATATCACAGAATGGAGTAATGATTAAGAAATAAAATTTGGCATTGTAGCTTGTGTGTAAAAGGTATTGAAGCTATTAAATTTTGGTGGTTAAAAGTCAAGTGGGTGGGAGATCGATAGGGTTATGTGTTATATCTCAAGTGATGTTGGATTTAATAAAGATTTTACTCATTATTAGCACTTACAATTTTTTGTAAAACTTATCTCTATTTTTAAGATTAACACGTTTTTGAAACTTTATAATAATTAATAATATAAGCAAAATATATATGGATAAAAAAATGGATAAAAATAGAAAAATAAAGTAAGAAATAGTGAAAGTGATTTTCTGGTCTTTCTCTGTTTTTAAACTCTATCGAAGTCGGATTTAATAAGTGAATTCACTTGTATTTCTTAAGGGTTTTTTTTTTAAAGAAAAATTTTTTAGAATTTATTAATTTTAATATTTGAATAACCGATCCCATTGTTTTATTATTTATTTACCATTTAATATGGTAATTTGGCTAGCTATAACTTTCAGTAACATATCCAATCAGGATTATTAAGCTAAAATATCTAATTCTCTTACATAACAGTATAAGATTAGATATAATTAATTTAAATACAGTGGTGCCTCATATAACGTACTTAATCCGTTCCAGGTGCACATCCGTTAAGTGAAAAGTTCGTTATATGAAACGCATTTTCCCATAGAAATACATGTTAAAACATATAATTCGTTCCACAGCATAAAATAACCATACTGTATCATAAAAAAATGAAAATGGAGCAGTCACCAATTATGCCGG